TTGGAAGAGGAATGTTGAATTCTAACTGCTCAACGGTCCTGGGTCTTACTTGTAGTATTTTTTTGTTTTTCAAGGTGCACCAAACATTTTCAATTGGTGAAAGGTCTGGGCTGCAGGCAAGCCCAATAAGCATCCGAACACTTCTACTACACAAGCCATGCTGTTGTCATACACATGCAGTATGCGGTTTTAGGATTACCCTGCTGAAATATGTGAGGCCTTTCAGCCCCTTTAACCGGAGGATGCACTGCCAATGATTGCCAAAAAGAAAGTTGAATTTTCATTCATCTAACCACAGAACAGTTTTCCACTATGCAACAGACCATTTTAAATGAGCTTTGACCTCGAGAAGGTCAAAGATATGTGCACGATAGAACTTTACCTTGCATTTTTGGATGGCACAGCAAACTGTGGTCACAAACAGTGATTTTTGGAAGTATTCCTGAGCCCATGCAATGATGTCAATCACTTAATCATGCCAATTTTTAATGCAGTGCAATATTGCACTTCGGCCTTATCACATGCCTGATGAAAGGGTGCTGTGTGGCTCTGAAATGTTGCTATATATTCTACTATGTTGTGATCATACAATAAAATGGTGTAATCGCTTATGGCATTCCCTGGTGTGCTAGTGACAAATCTCTTGCTTTGAAGTCTTGCCAGTCTCAATCCAGTGGTCGCTACAGCACCCATGCACTCACAGCCACATTTAGACCATGTACGGTGGGAATATTGCTCTCGGCGTTCTACCTTAAGCACAGAGATTTCTCTAGATTCTCAGAACGTTTTGATATTATGTACTGTAGATGATAATATATTAAAAGTCTTTGTAAGTTTACGTTGAGGAATATTATTCTGAAATTGTTCAATTTTTCGACACAGTTTTCAAAGATTGGTGAACCTCTTCCCATCTTTACTCCTGAGACACTAACGCTCTAAGATGCTCGTTTTATACCCAATCATGTTACTGACCTGTTGCCAATTAATCCAATTAGTTGGAAAATGTTCCAGCTCTTCCTTGTTAGTACCATTGTTCCCGCTTTTCCTTTTTAGTACCACTTACTTTGTCAGCTTTTTATTGCCCAGTCCAAACCTTTTCGCAACGTGTTACTGCCATCAATTTCAAAATGACCTTATTTTTTTCTTAAAATGGTACATTTTACGCAGTTTAAACATTTGATATGTTTTCTATTGTGAATAAAATATGAGTTTATGAGATTTTCAAATCATTGCATTCTGTTTTTTGTGTAAATTTTACACAGCATTCCAACTTTTTTGGAATTGAGACTGTATATTACAAAAAAAAAAAAAGGTATATTTTTATTACAGTTCAGTGACTGAATTTAACAGGAGCATACTAGAGAGAATATCCTTATTGATCTGTAGCAGGCAGAGTCAAGCATTTTCTTTTCCCTCCCTTAGTGATCATTCTGTTCTGTCTTGTCACCAAGTAGCTGAGTCATGTGAGACTAAAGAATTTTACACTTGCAGGGTGAAAGGCAGCAGAGGGACAGACCGGTGTGTTTAATGGAATCTTACACTGGCTGGTCACAGGCATAGGCTAAGCGCTATGAGAAATTAACATCTTCATTATAAACATATATTATCTGATACTTTAAATTACTGCCAATTTATATTTTGTGTTTGCAGCACAGGACATGGCAAACTGAATCAAATCCAGAACTAACCACATTGCCCTGCAGCTGCACAGTTCTTTCAGTAGCAAACGCAATCCCTTACTGCATAATATTTCTCTTTTACGATTATAAAATATATAATAGAAAAATAATAAAATATTTAAAAACATGTACTCTAGCTCCTTCATAAAACTGTTATATAAAAAAAAAAGCTGTTCAAACATTCAATAGTTGTTACACTTTGCCAATTTCAAGTCAAGGACTAGAAGGTACAGCAAAAAACATTAAAGTGGTATTAAACCTAAAGGCAAACACTTACTATATTGCAGCTTACCAATTCTTAGATGTGATGGCTGCATTAGTTATCTTTTTGGGGGGGTTTTTCGTGCTTTTATTTTCATCTGGTGATCCAGCCATGAAGTCTGTTGTTTTTTCCCTTTTTCCAACAGAACAAGCTCTCCTGCAAGTGTATCAGTTAAAAGTGCTCAGACAAACCATTTACCACTAACAGGGGTGCTTACAATGATCAGTTTTTAATTATTCATGTAAATGACCCTCCCTTTTAGGTTGTAAGCTCTGATTCCTCCTGTATTGAGTTGTATTGTAACTACCATTTGCCCTCATGTTGTAAAACACTGTGCAAACTGTTGGCGCTATATAAATCCTGAATATGAATAATATTATTATTATTATTATTATTATTAATAATGTAAAACCTTTATCCCAAAAGAAAAAACTGTTGCTGTAACTGCTTGCGTTACTGCAGTGTGAGCTGGAGATTGGTTTAACTTTTTTAGTGTATCTAAATCTGCTAATACATCTAACACTACCCTCCCCCCAGATTAACAATACTGATGTTTGCTGTGCCTCCGGTTCTCCTTGTTCCAGAATGAAGGCATTCGTAATACAGGAGATGTGTTTCACCAGGTGAAAACAGAGGAGAAAAAGCCTAAAAAAAAATAGGACTTATGCAGCTACCACATCTAACGATTGGAAAGATGCAACATATTACATTTTTGGTTTGGGGTTTAATACCACTTTAATGGAGGCAGTGATTTGTAGCCACAAACTGTAGATCTTAATGGCTTGCCAAAACAGAAATGCTGCTTTTACACAATTACTATTCATAACTATAAATGTGCATGCCTATACATGGGAAAATATATATACTTTGCATCTCACCTCTGCTTTTGCAGCAATAACCAGTTTTCAAGATTAATTTCAAAATGGGTCTTTTAAAAATAAAAATTAAAAAAAAATTGCCAAAAAGGTATTTGTGTGTGCTGTGTCTCTAATCATAGCAGTTATTTCAACATACCTAGACCTTTTTGGCCTGGATTTTTTGCAAAGTTGAATGTAAACTGATAAAAATCCTTAAACCTTCCTGGCTCTTTTAATTCTTGTTCCATTTTCGGTAGCTGTGCTTTTAATTTTTCTATGCTGTCGCACCTGAGAAGGATCCGTACAGAAACAAAACAAGAAAAGCATTAGATCTAATTCCTAAAATATCCTACAAAGCGCCATGTGATCCAAATGTCCTCATTGACACAAGCAGAAAGTTACAAATAATAAAAACATGTTGTGGCATTTAACATATGGTGGAATGTGGCTACAGCGAAAATCAACTCCATATGAATGTCTTCATTAACAATATGGCAGCAACATTAATTGGATTTGTAACAGACACCACAATACAAGCTACACATATTGATATTACTGCTGAACTCCACAGAAAAAACTCCAGGCAATTATACATTAAAAACAAATAGTTAAAGTGTGTCTAAAACCAATCTGTTTTCCTTTTTTTTTGGAGTAGGTAGGGTTTAGAACCTCAGGTTTGATTACGGTCTGTGTCCTGGTGACCACAGTCACCAAAACTGAAAGCAAAGCAAAATCCAAAATTATCCCTAGAGCAGGAATAAGAGGGAAATCATCCAATGGGGAAACTTGTTCTGCAGAAATTTCCCTCACTTTGGAGAGATTTTCTTTCACTTTCTGATGAGACTACAGCATCCCGAACACTGCTTCCGTATATGGGGGAAAAATATTGGTAGGGTTCCTCTTTATTCCCTCCATTCCTCTTACCCACATGATGTCACCATCCACCAGGGCTCTACAAACCCCAGGCGCCAGGTTGCCATGGCAACTAGAAACTGTGTCCTGGCACCTGGGTTCACACATATGTGTACTGAAATGGTAATGTCACTTTGGTTTCTGTACAGGTGTGATTTTGCTGACTCTTTCGCTCTTTCTCCACAATTGTCCCCCCATTGACTTCAATGCAAAAACACCTCCCACTGACTTCATAAGCAGAAACCCTGTCAATAGCAATCCTATGTGAACACTTATCTACGCATGCCACTATCATTTGCGAGTCTGGAACGCACTGCTACAAACTTTTCGTGATGGCACTCAAAATGCAATGTGTGTGCATCTCACCTGTGTGAGCCACCTCAATAAGAAAACATAATATCTAGCCTGTCATGCGAATCTGTGAGTTTGAAAATGCACCAGAATCGCATATGTGCGAACCAGGGCAACTCCATTTACACCTGGGCGTTTTGAGATCACGGCAGAGCTGCGATCTCAAAATGCAGGTTCAGGTGTCAATATGTTCAATGGCACCTAAAATGTGATGCAGTTTTGCTGTGATGGCAAATTGCATCACATGAAGCTTTTTACTAAAAGTTGCCATGCCCTGGCGCTGACAACCCATGCCGCAGTAAAAGAAAAAAAAAACAACAGGCTCTTAACTTTTTTAGCTGGCTCCTAGAGCAAATTTGTCAAGCCCTGTCATCCACTTTTTTTTCTTCTGTGTGTGACTCCTTTAGATACTCTAGCAGCCGGTCATATAAACCATGCTTTTTGTGGCACCAACTATCCAATAATACTAGCAGGGACATGTTTGAGTGACCATGGTACTGTTATATTTTATCTCTTATTGATCGAGAACTCTGTAAGCAGCAGAAATCCTTCAAATGTTTGCCTTCTCTTTCTCATTTATTTACATAACATGTAAATATAAAGCAGTCTAGCTGTAAATTGCAAATCAGATACAGCTGAGAACAGAGCCACAATGATCCAAGCATTTCCTACTATTGGGAGTCCATGGGGCTTGTTGAAGTGAGTGTTTATGAAAATAATTGAAGGAAAAAAAGTGGAAGTGGAAAAAGTGGAAAAGTGGGAAAATTAGGAGGCACTCTAACAGTATTACAGTGCTATTTGCTGACAGACATCATTGAGGAAATTCAATTTCCAGTTATGCACAATTACTTGGAAAACATACATTTACATCAATATTTGTGTGATTTTCCTTAAATGAATAAAACACAAAAGTGAATAAACGGTGTATGTACAACTTACCCTAATTCTATCATTCCATCCATAAATTCCTGCTTGGAAAATTCACACTGTGTGGCTGCTCTGAATTTCCATGCAATAATTAGCACACTGACACTGGCCGGGTCAAGCGCTAAATCATCACAAAACTGTTGGATGCCATCTATTCCAATTTTATTTTCATCCTGAGGGTCTGCATAGGAAATAAAAATCAGCATGCTCAGACATCAAAAGGGACAGCCGGGAGAAAGAATGGATTGGGCTGAGTATTCAGCTTGTCTGTGTGGATGATTCTTATGCAATGCTCAGAGAAACTGCTAAGCATGATAAAAAAACCATGACATATTTAGTATGGCAGCACTGATGACGTTCAACATGCAGGCACCATAGCAATCAGTTGGAGCAATCATACAAGCGGAAGAAGAACTAAGTGTCTGCTATGAATTACTGAATACAATGCCCAGTTAGGTGTGTGCTTAGGCAACGTCACATAACTGTGTTCTCTATCCAAGAAGGGAGCTATATGTGCAAACCCGCAGTATAGATACATGTCTAACTTCAGTAAGTCATCAATACATGCTGGTTCTGGGTCAGTGACACTATCCTCAGCAAAGCTGAATACTCTGCCTTAATGGCAGCACGCATTCAACCCTCTCTGAAGTTAGCTGTATTTTTAGAACATGAGCCAAGTTTAAATACCAGCCAGATTAAAGGGGAGCCTAATGTAATATACCTAAGGCCTTAGTCACACAGGTGCTGAGACAGGTAGTCTGTAAATGGGCCGCGTGTTTATGCATCTTGAGCCGCCAGGTGCTGCATGCAAGAAGCCCCTGTAAGTGTATGGGGATACAGCAGCTGCACAGGCACAGCTGCTTTTCCCAATCTGACAGGCATGTGGATAAGAGTGCCCCCAAATGCAGACAGAGGGGTTTATTTACTAAAGCTGGAGAGTCCAAAAACAGCCTCACTTCTGCATAGAGACCAATCAGCGTTCAGCTTTATTGCCAAAGCTGAATTGAACAAGTTGAGGTTACAAGCTGATTGGTTTCTATGCAGAAGTAAGCCTGACTTTGCACTCTGCAGCTTTAGTAAATAAACCCCAGTGAGTGTTTGGGGCTGCTCACTGGCACACCCGTAAAACTGGAATGTGCGGCTGTATCTGTTCAGCCACTGTACCCCTATACAATTACATGGGCTGCCTGCATGCAACACCTGGCAGCTCAAGGCACAAACACACAGCCCATTCAAGAACTACAGGTGGCAGCACCCATATGAAAGAGACCTAATATAAATTGCTGGACTGCACATACTAGTCATGTAAAAGGTGGTGCAGGTTTTTTTTAAAATCAGACTTTATTTTTGTGAGATGTTTTTATAGAGTTTAGTAAACATTAAAGTATAGAGACACAAGTATCAAGTAACCTATACTAAAGCTATAGGAGCATTTGGTAAGAGTCAAAAATTTAGTCAAGTGTGAACAAGCCCTTAGTACGATGGGTTCAATATTGAGTTGGCCTGCCCTTTGCAGCTATAACAGCTTCAACTCTTCTGGGAAGGCTGTCCACAAGGTTTAGGAGGGTGTCTATGGGAATGTTTGACCATTCTTCCAGAAGTGCATTTGTGAGGTCAGGCAGTGATGTCAGACAAGAAGGCCTGGCTCAGTCTCCACTCTAATTGATCCCAAAGGTGTTCTATTGGGTTGAGGTCAGGACTCTGTGCAGGCCAGTCAAGTTGATTGAGCCCCAAACTTGCTCATCCATGTCTTTATGGACCTTGCTTTGTGCACTGGTGTGCAGTCATGTTGAAACAGGAAGGGGCCATCCCAAAATATTCCCACACAGTTGGGTGCATGAAATTGTCCAAAATGTCTTGGTATGTTGATGTCTTAAGAGTTCCCTTCACTGGAACTAAGGGGCCAAGCCCAACTCCTGAAAAACAACCCCACACCATAATCCCCTCCACCAAACTGTACATTTGGCACAATGCAGTCAGGCAAGTGTTCTCCTTGCAACCGCCAAACCCAGACTCGTCCATCAGATTGCCAGACAGAGAAGCATGATTTGTCACTCCAGAGAAACACGTCTCCACTGCTCTAGAGTCCAGTGGTGGTGTGCCCTACACCACTGCATTAGACGCTTTGCATTGCACTTGGGGATGTAAGGCTTGGATGCAGCTGCTCGGCCCTGGAAACCCATTCCATCTACGTAGTGTTGTGCTAATCTGAAGGCCACACAAAGTTTGGGAGGTGTTTAGCTACTGACTCTGCAGACAGTTGGTGATTTCAGCACACTGTGTGCTTCAGCATGCACGGATTTCGCTCTGTCATGTTAAGTGGCCTACCATTTTGTGGATGAGTTACCGTTGTTCCCAGTTGCTTCCACTTTGTTATAATACCACTAACAGTTGACTGTACAATATTTAGTAGGAAGGAAATTTCACGGATGAACTTATTGCACAGTTGCCAACCTATCACGTTACCATGCTTGAATTCATTGAGCTCTTGAGAGCGACCCATTCTTTCACAAATATTTGTAGAAGCAGTCTGCATGCCTAGGTGCTTGATATTATACACCTGTGGCCACAGAGGTGATTGGAAAACCTCAATCTAATGATTTGGAGTGGTGTCCCAATACTTTTGGCAATATATTGTACATTCAAGGTATTGAGGCCAATAATGCACATACAAAGCACACCTGGCCACCCCATGCGCTGGCCCAAATTTAATCATCAAAAGGACAAGTGCCACATTAAAGGGAGTAATTAAGCCACTCATTCTCATCTGCAGCATGCAGCCATCTAGACCACATCAAGGCATAATTCTTAGTTTTCCTATGCTGCTCATGTGCAAATTTTTCATAAGAGGTGAGCTCATTCCATTCTGTAGCTCAATCCTGGAATACAGTAGCTGTGCTTGAAACACATCTCAATCGACAATCACCCTATGGGCTGCAAATACAGATCTTGTCAATGCAAGAGGAGCAAAAGGAGTCCAAACTGGATGCTTAAAGCCAGGGTTTCTTTAACCACGTGCCGACCACCCACAGTACATTTACTGCGAGCGGTCAGCACCTACATGCACAATCACATACAAGTGCCTGCATGGTCTTAGAAGGGCACCGTGACACACCCAAACCCCCTCCCCCCCCCCGCCGTGCAACCACTGTGCTGCAACCATCGCGCACCGCAAACTGTGGAATCACGGTACCAGAGCCGGGGATCATGTGATCACTATGCAATCACATTGTAAACAAAGCTGCAGTGGATGAACCTCATTCATAACACCTGTGTTTCTTATACTAGTGAGCTGTGATTGGCCCACAACTATCACATGGTACCTGGGCCAATCACAGCATTCTGTACTATGTGATTAGCTGTAGCCAATCGCAAATTAGTAGAAATCACAGCTGTCGTGAATAAAACTCATTCCTCACATTCCAAAGCATTTCTGGCACAATGATATTCATTGTAACAGCAATCAAAGTATTAAAAAAAATCCATTAGGGTAAAAAAAAAAAAAAATGTTTTTAAGAAAATAGAAAATTAAGAAACACCAGTCATTTCATGATGCTGAACCATGCTTGTGATTCTATGTGGAAAAAAAAAATTGTTGGAAAAAAGAAATTGTTTAAGGTTTTAATTTTCCAAAAAATTGTGACAAAAAAAATTACTTTAAAAGAAAAAAAACAAAAAAAAAAAAAAAAAAAAACACCTCACCATGCCTCTTACTAAATATGCTTCAGACTGTCTACTTTCCAAAAAGGGGTCATTTGGGGGGAATTTGTACTGTCCTGGCATTTTAGGGTCTCAAGAAATGAGACAGGCTGTCAGTACATCAGAAATGATCAATTTTCAAATATACATAACATAGATGGTAGACGCCAGTGTTAATTTTGATGTCAAATTTTGATTTAGTTTTAGTCATAGCCCTTTGACTAAAATGCCATTTTAGCTTTAGTTGTATTTTAGTCATTTCAATTGCTTTAGTTTCAGTCGTATTTTAGTGGACTAAAATCTCCAATACATTTTAGTCAACTAAAATCTAATAGGTCTGGTTAAATTGTAATGCGTTATTTAAGCATTTCTCTAGAATTTCCAAACTCATTATATACTCCTGGAGTAAAAATTTCTAATGACATGGTATTTATTGTATTAAGGTTTGAACAAACTACAGATTTAGCAGTTCTAGAACATCTTTATAAGTAAAACCAAGTTTCTTTATAAGAAATGTCCCTCCCTCAAATTTTTGCTATGTTTTCATTTGTTGACTAAAACTAGAATTGATTTGTGGCATAGTTTTCATCAATTGATGAAAATTCCAATTGAGTTTCGGCAACGAAATTAAAAAACACTGGTAGACGCTATTAATTTCACAAAAGCCAATTAATGTACTTATGGGGATTTTTTTTTTTTTTTTTTTAAGATGCAGCATAACACATTTTGGCCTAAATGCATGTAGAAATCAGATTTTTTTGATTGGATATGTTTTATAACAGGAAATAGTTTTTGTTTTTTTTTAAGTTTTGTTTATAGAATAAAAAATAAAAATCCAGTGGTGATCAACAGAAAGCTCTATTTGTGTGTGGAAAAAAAAATATAAATTTGAATGACTGTCATCAATAGCAAAAAACGGCCTGGTCACAAAGGGGGTAAAAATCATCTGACGCTTAATTGGTTAAAGGGTCTTTCTTATTTAGTATCAAAAACATGTGAACTATCCAGGATAAGAGCCCAGGCCACATAAAAAAAAACAAGGAATATGAACAAATGGAAAAAAATCATCCTGAAACAGAAATTACAAATGACTCTCTGAACAAGGAATTAAACTAGAAGAACATTTCCTATCCTTGCAGACACCCAGATACACCGTATTCTGTACAGAGCTGAATGATGACTTCTCACCAGAAAGCATTTAACTAAAAGTGAATTTGTTGCCAAAATGAAAATACATTTGCTGGAAGCTGAGCTTTATAACACACTTTCATCCTCTTGTTTGCTATGTCATGTTTTGCAGATTTTCTTTCAAGTGTATTGCCTGTACTTACCTTTGTATCGGTTATAAAGTTGTTCTAATTTTTTTCTGTCCAATGTTCCTTTTACACTTTCTCGGATATAGTGTTCAGGATTTTGGAAAAAGTTATCTGTGGCAACATCTAGCTTCCAGTCATTCTGGGACAGGCAACTTACTGCAGTCTTTTCACTAGATTGTGTGAAGATCATAAACTGGCGAACTTTATCTTTTTGTGAGGATTTCAACTTGTTCTGTGGAAAGAAGGCAATACCATTACATACCAATTACATCACTTGAAATTCCACAGCTATTTAAACATCCTTTGAAACCCAAAGCACTACCAATTTTAATTTGGAAGTTTAGCTTTCCCAAGGGCCTCTGCTTTAAAGCAACAATCATTTTTAAGAAAGGCATAGTTATAAATTTCTTATTATCTCTGAACAAGTTCTCTTCAGGCTGCATGCATACCTCCGTTTTTAGGTACAGACGGTTTCCAATGAAATCCCCGAAAGCACATAAAGGTGGACTTTGTATTGCACATCATCAGATGTAAAAATCAGTGTGAATTTGGCCATAAAACACAACTTTACTCTCCCAATCAACATTAACAAACTTTAATTCCTTAAACTGCTAGGCTTAGTAAATAGATAGAAATGTATATTATATATAATTATACTGACTTGTTTTAAACTATTTTTTTTTTAGCTTTCTTTAGTTGCTTCCTGGTTTATGGCCTAGGCCAGTGGTGGGCAACCTTTTTTTCAACTGAGCCAAATCTCACCAAAACCACGATTGAAATTTATTTTGAGAGCCACATTTTTAAAACTGAAAATACATAGGATGGTACACTGTTTTTAGTTTCAATAAGTTTTTATAGTAATTCATCCCCCATATAGTAATTCATCCCCCATAGTAATTCATCCCCCATATAGTAATTAATCCCCCATATAGTAATTCATCCCCCATAGTAATTCATCCCCCATATAGTAATTCATCCCCCATATAGTAATTCATTCCCCATATAGTAATTCATCCCCCCTATAGTAATTCATCCCCCCTATAGTAATTCATCCCCCCCTAGTAATTCATCCCCCCTACAGTAATTCATCCCCCCATAGTAATTCATCCCCCCATAGTAATTCATCCCCCATATAGTAATTCATCCCCCATATAGTAATTCATCCCCCATAGTAATTCATCCCCCATAGTAATTCATCCCCCCTATAGTAATTCATCCCCCCTATAGTAATTCATCCCTCATATAGCAGTAGTAAGTAGTAAGCCAAGTCCCCCCTGTGTCAATTCACTTACCTTTGCTCCGCGCGTTCCTCTCGCCGTGTTCCCGCGCCGTTCCGGTCTTCAGGGCGGACTGTGAGAGGAGCCTAGATCCTCTCACGTTCGTCACGCTGCCCCGCCTACACACATCCTAACAGCCAATCACTGGCTATCAGGATGTGAGTGGCAGCGAGACTGGCCAATCATTGCATTTGAGCGCGCTGCCCTGGCTGTTTTTTTTTGGATCACGCTACAGAGTCCCTGCCGCCCGAGAGGAGGGAGGGGAGCGGGCGCCAGGCACACAAGAGCCGCATTAAAGCGTGTAAAGAGCCGCATGTGGCTCGCGAGCCGCAGCTTGCCGACCACTGGCCTAGGCTAAAATGATGTCATATATCCAAGTAGTCTTCATGTTATATCTTTTTTTTTCCTTTTGTCTGAGGGAGGGGCTCTCAGCTAAGGGCAGATGGATTTTAGAAAGTAAATGCTACATGCATTATTTGCCCATTACTGAAGATGGTTGCGGCTAGAAATGCTGCCATTTTTCAAAATGATTTCTCAACAAAATAAAGCAGAGAGACATGGAAGGATGGGTGAGTTTGCGTTTAAGATTAAAAATGAATTAAACAGTGTTTTCAGTTTGTGGTCCTCAGATACAGCTCCATTTTAAAGAAACCCAGTCACTTGATAAAACTATTTCAGCAAAGCACATTTTTGAAAAGAAGAGGCTGAACGCTTTATCTTTCCTTCCACCTTCACCACCTATAGAGAAACTGGAACTTCCCAGACATATTGATCTTCGTTGCTCCCCGCTGCTCTCACTGGTTCCTCCCTCTGTTACAGCAAAATAAATGATGTGTAGTTCAAAGAACAGCAGGAAAAACCAGCAAAAGCTGCAGGGAATTACAGATATCGACACTCCGGGAAGTGCTGGTTTCCTAGCAGAATTTGGGGAGCAGTTCTCAGCAGCAGAGCTGAGTGGTAGGAGATTACTCTATTTCAGATTTATAATTTCCCGGTATGTTTTTAATATGACAGCAGGCCCGGACTGGCCATAGGGCACACCAGGCATTCGCCCGATGTTCATGAAGCGGCGACCGTGGTCTGAGGAGAGCTAACACAGACAGCGGCCACCGCTCACCACCACTATGTGGCCATTCCTGTAGCAGGGCAGGTGCCAGGAAGCTAGGGAGTGTGGGAAGGCTCCAGTCAGTGACACACTGGAGGAGCCTGCAGCTTCAACGGCAGGCTTCCTCCTAACACTGGCCAGCACACAGTGACAGCTGCACAGTGGAGGAGGGTGAGTGCACTGATCCAGTGTGGGTTATAGCCAAACAGTCTGCAGCCGTGGGTATGGCGGAGGAGTGAGCTATCTCTTTTGCTGAATGGGGCTGTCTCTGCTGGACCGGGCCATCTCTCTGCTATATGGAGCTGTCTCTTTGCTGAATGGGGCTGTCTCTGACAGATTGGGCTGTCATTTACTATATGAGGCTTTCCCTTTGCTGAATGGGGCTGCCTCTTTGCTATATGGGGCTGTCGCTTTTCTATATGAGGCTCTTTGCAGCATTAAGCCGTCTCTTTTCTATATGGAGCTGTGTTTTTGCTATATGTGGCTGTCTCTTTGCTGGATTGGGCAGTCTCTTTTCTATATGGAGCTCTATTTATGCTGAATGGGGCTGTCTCTTTGCTATATAGAGCCATCTCTGCTGGATTGGGCCATCTCCTTGCTATATGGGGCTCTCTCTTTGCTATATGGAGCTGTCTCTGCTAGATTGGACTGGCTCTTATTATATGGGGCTGTCACTTTGCTATATGGGGCAGTCTCTTTTCTATATGGAGCTGTCTTTTTGCTATATGGGGCCATCTCTGCTGGATTGGGCTCTTTGCTATATAGGGCTCTCTCTGTACTATATGGAGCTGTCTCTGCTAGATTGGACTGTCTCTTTGCTATATGAAGCTGTCTCTGCTGGATTGGGCCATCTCTTTGCTACATGGAATGGTCTCTGCTGGATTGGGCCATCTCTATGCTATATGGAGTGGTCTCTGCTATATGAGGCTCTTTGCTACGTGGAGATGACTCTTTGCTGCACTGAGATGTCTCTTTGCTATTTGGGGCTGTCACTTTGCCGAATAGGGCTGTCTCTGTTTTATGGTGCCATCTCTTTGCTATATGGGGCTGTCTCTTTGATATATGATGCTCTTTGCCGGATTGGACTGTCTTTTTTTACTACATGCTGATGTTTCTTTGCTGGATTGGGGCTGTCTCTTTGCTGGATTGGGCCTTTTTTTTAATATAAGTGGAAGTCTCTTTGCTGTGTTGGGCCATCTCTTTGTTGAATATATGGGGATGTCTCTTTACTGCTCTTTGGTCAAAATATACTGTAAATATGATCCAGGTCTGCAGCTCCTCCAGCTCCTTGCTTTGCTGATAGGATGACATCGTCATCAGGAAGGAAGACACTGGAAAGGACACACAGGCTAAATCCTGCCTGTGCCCTGCCAAAGATAGGACTGTGCAGAGGAAGGCAAAGTAAAAGGGGGCACTCTGATTAAAAAGAAAAGGGGGGCAATTGCAAGGGGGCTGTGGTTGCTAGAGGAACTGCACTGTAAAGTAAAGGGGCACTGTGATATAAAGAGGAAATGCACTGTAAAAGGGCACTGTAATCAAGACCCCCCCCGAGTCCCTGAAAAAATTGACTGCTCAGTCTAAAATGCCTGGGCCTAATTTTTGTCCCAGTCTGGGCCTGTATGACAGGGTAACTATACACCGCGAACCTACCTAAACCTATACAGCTGTGTGTGGTCTTCTTTCCATATAACAAAGCAAAACAGGTTAGCACTGAGTGCCTTTCCTTCTCATACTCTGTACACCCAAATCACACTCCTTACACTGTGTATGTCAGAGTATATAGTGTAATGAAACATTCACAAATGAACTCGTCAAACAAGTCCTAACTCTTCCAAAGCAGGAAAGGAAATATAAACCCTTGAAATACAGTATCTCCTGATGTATACGTTTTCTGCAACCATGGAAGTACAAATATTTTACATTATGCAACTACGTATAGCAAGATTAGAGGTACGCCTACCATCAATGTAGAAAGGCCACCAACTGAAAAGTTTCTCCCCCAGAAAAAAACAACAGTGACAAAACACGCTGGTAAATGCTGGAGTGTGGCCTTGTAACTCAGCCAATGGACAGAAGTGGGTCATGGGTAACCCTAATGGCAAGGACCACACTTCATCATAGCATCAGGCCATTATATAGCAGGTGTTGGTCACTGTGAAGCAGCTTGTATAGCTGGCTATATTTATAAAAGGACTATACAATTTACTAAATGTAGGTTACATTTATATGAAAGATGGAAGGCATCCAACTGGGTAAACTAAAGGTGCTTTCATTAAAGTGGTTGTAAAGGCTCAAGGTTTTTTACCTTCATGCACTCTATACGTGAAGGTAAAAAACCTGTGTGCAGCAGCCTCTCCGACCCCCCCTTATACTTATCTGAGCCCCATCACAATCTAGCGATGTGCACAAGACTCTCCCTCCTCACTGGCTCCCTCTGCTGTCAATCACAGCTAGTGAGACAATGACGAGAGAGGGGGGGCGGGCTGAGCCATGGCTGTGTGTGTGATTGAACACACAGAGCAGCGTCTCAGGTGCCCCTATAGCAAGCTGCTTGCTCTGGGGGCACTCGGCAAGAGCCAGGAGTGCCGGCGGGGACCTGAGAAGAGGAGGATCGGGGCTGCCCTGTTCAAAACCACTGCACAGAGCAGATAAGTATACCATGTTTGTTTTTGGGTTTTTTTAATTGCCTTTAATATCACTTTAAATGTAACAGGTCTGCAACATGCTCTGTAAATGTTCAGTTCCAATGTATGAACCAGTGATCTTTCTTTATAACTAAGCTTTGGCTTATACATGTGTTGTGCTGGAAGACTCTTGACTTGTCCAGATAAGAGGAGAGCAGCTTCAGCAT